TAAATTTGTATATTTGTTAGGCGAAATTAGAAACATGATAAAACAATTGGGTATTTAAAAACAAATGTAGAAATAAAAGTTGAAGTATAATAAACAATGTTAAAGATTAGTTTTAATTATTAATCAAGATTGTGTGTGAATATGTGAGAAAGATGTAATATCGTTGTTGTTTTCTTGGCCGACTGTTTTACATATGGTGTTATCTTAAAATTGCTTGTTTTGAATATTTTTTAGATTGAGATTATTAGCTAGTATGTAAAAAAATTAACTCTGTTGAAATTTAATTTTGTATTTATATATAAATAAAATTAACTCTGTTGATTTTTTTTTGTATTTAATCGATAACAGCGAAGTTACGCATGTTAATGTTAGGAAATATATTTTGATGTTAAGCAAAACCTGCTCCATCTCATTTTACATAAATGTTGAAAATTTGGTTGAAATTGATGCATTGTAACGAAAGTTTTTAGTGATGTCCACTTATGAAATTTCCATTTTATTAATATACTAGCGGATGTGCCCGGCTTCGCCCGGGTTTTACCCGAGTGAATGTTTGTCTAACGAACATTTGTTAAAACAATTCTCTATAAACTTATAAAACGTACTCGGCTTCGCCCGAGGTTTTACCCGAGTAAAGGTTTGTCTAGCGAACATTTGTTAAAACAATTCTCTAAAAACTTATTTAAAAAAAAAAAAGATAATCTTGATAATTTGAAACTCGTAAATTTGAATCTCTCGATAAAAAGAACATTTTTTCCCGGTCCCTGTGTGCCGTGTCATCCTGAATTTTGTCTTTCCTAATTTTCTACATTAGAAAATCATAGTTTTATCTAGTGAACATTTTTTCCCGTGTCACATTGCCGTGTCACATTGCCTTTATTCTTCATTGTTGGCTTTTTATATTATATTTACTCTTCATTGTTGGCTTTTTATCTTAAATTTATTCTTCATTGTTGGCTTTTTATATTACATTTACTCTTTATTGTTGGCTTTTTATCTTACATTCATTCTTCATTGTTGGCTTTTTATATCATATTTACTCTTCATTCTTGGATTTTTATATTATATTCTGACCAAAATCTATCTGTGAACTTCACACAGTGAACTTCACACAGACAGAATAAGGCAATTATATAAGTAGATTTACTCTTCTTTGTTGGCTTTTTATCTTACATTCATTCTTCATTGTTGGCTTTTTATATTACATTTACTATTCATTGTTGGCTTTTTATCTTATATTCACTCTTCATTGTTGGCTTTTTATCTTACATTCATTCTTCATTGTTGGCTTTTTATATTACATTCACTCTTCATTGTTGGCTTTTTATCTTACATTCATTCTTCATTGTTGGCTTTTTATATTACATTTACTCTTCATTGTTGGCTTTTTATCTTACATTCACTCTTCATTGTTGGCTTTTTATATTATATTTTTAGATTGAGATTAATAGCTAGTATGTAAAAATATTAACTCTGTTGAAATTTAATTTTGTATTTATATATAAATAAAATTAACTCTGTTGATTTTTTTGTATTTAATCGATAACAGCGAAGTTACGCATGTTAATGTTAGGGAAAAATATTTTGACGTTAAGCAAAACCTGCTCCATCTCGTTTTACATAAATGTTGAAAATTTGGTCGAAATTGATGCATTGTAACGAAAGTTTTTAGTGATGTCCTCTTATGAAATTTGCATTTTATTAATATAGAAGATAGAAAAAAAAAACAAAGGCCAGAACAAAAATTAATAAAAAATACGAAAGCCATTGTTTACATACAGTAACGCTAATTTTGTATTTTTTTTTAATTGCATTGTGTGCACTTACCGTAGCTTAGTAATTTAAATTTTTCTCTCAATACTTTTGTAAAAAAAAGTAACACTCGTATAAAAAGATATTTTAAAAAAAGTACGCAAGCAACTTGAAAATAAATGCAGAACGCTCATTGGTCGCTTAATTGGCCTCGTGTTGTTACTTCGCCTCGTATTTACTCCGCGTAAAAAAAAAAAAGTTCTTCAAATGAAAAAAAAAAAAAAAAAGAAATAGCCAAAAATACTAATAAAAATGTAGCCGAAAATTTTCCTCAGGTTTATAAAAAGCGACATGCAAAATTTGGTACCAATTGGTTCAGTAGTTTTTGAGTTTATCGCGAAACACAGACATTGACTTTTATATATATAGAGATAATACAATAAAATAAGCCCTAATCCAATTTGATCACAATCAAAGGTATCTGAGCAGCTACAATCCTACCATCATCTCATCTTACAATCCAAGTCTATCTTGGATTCACCTCTTTCATGGCTGGACTTTTAACCATCCTCCATGGGAAGGCAATACAAAATTCCAGACATATATACTTATAGATTCGGAATCAAGCAGCCAAATGAGCTCCAGCATCCTTAGTTCTTTTCAAAAACGCCACAAAACCAACATCCCAGGACAGTATAGAGCGTTAAAAAAATTAGCGAAAAAAGGCATGAAACCGTGTACTAAAATATTGTCCCGGCAGAGAAGACAAGTATTCCAAAAGTTTAAGTTAGAAATAATTTATTACAAAACTATGGAATGCAAAACGTGGTAATCTTTTACAAGTGATACTCTAAACTAATGGTAAGGGGTAGTGACATAGACAGAAGAGATATTTAGCTCAGTCAAAAGACTAAGCCAGGGACGATATAGGCATAACTGCCCTTGCACCAGTGACATAGAAAAATATTTTAGTTGATTACTTAGAACAGAGTATTTACCATAATTATTCAGAGTGACATTGCGCCCTTCCTAGATGAACAACGTCCCGCTGTAATTATCACTTGAACAGATCAACTTGGTCCTCAGGGTCATGGTAGGGTTTCATTCTCGTACATGGACCAGGTCTCTTGTTTGGTGGTTGGTTGGTCCACAGGTTCAACTTCGAAGGTCACGTCAGAGAGTTTCAGAGTAATCTTATATGGACCGAAGTACCTTTTCATCAGTTTTTCTGAGAGTCCCACCTTTCTTATTGGGATGAAAATGTTGTTTCTGTCTCACGTCCATGGACCAGTTCGAATGGAGTGAAGCCTGTCGTATCTTGTTTTGCCGTGTTGTAGGCGAACGTGACGTAGGGCAGGATTACGTCCCAGTCCTTCTGTTCAACACTTACATACATAGCCATCATGTTGGCTAAGGTTTTGTTTAACCTCTCTGTCAGTCCATTCGTCTGGGGATGATACGCTGTCGTGAACCGATGTATCGACGAGCATTGATTGGCGAGTTCCGCAATCAACTTGGATTGGAATACTCGTCCTCGGTCCGTGATGATTTCTCTGGGGGCTCCGTGCTTGAGAACAACATCTTCAATTTAGAACTTGACTGCTTCTTTTGCTTCCCCTGTGGGTAAGGCTTTAGTAATGTAAAATCGAGTAAGATAGTCAGTGCAGACTATGATCCATTTATTACCTCCATAGAATTTCGGGAATATTTCAAGGAGATCTATTCCGATTCTTTCGAA